TAGCAGCTTACACAGCAGCTTGTAGTAGCAGCTTGCACAACAGCTTCCTTTCTTCTATAAATAGAAGAGATTTCAGTTCATTATGGACATCAGTTTGAATTTAAATAATATATCAGTTTCTCTTGTCTTTATTTTATAGTTTTTATTTTATAACAAAAGTGAAATTTAAGTCATTCTTCCTAAATTCAAATCTCCAAGCACAGATGCCAAGTTTTAAACCTCCAACGAAATTCTTGCAAAAAGTTATAACGAGAATTGATTAGAACTGTAGCAATGTTAAATTTTGCGGTTCTAAAGAAGTACGGTGCAATCTTATCCAAGAATATTATACGGAGTTTTTCCTACTCCAGGAATGTTAAGGTCATCCCTTATCTCTTTTTGGCATGGTCCAAGTTATACAGAAGAAATGAGCAAATGCACAGTGTTCATAAATGATTCTATTCATAAAAATATTAGGGGTCTTTGTGTTCTTGATTCCCCATGTGACATATTATGTTCTCAGAATAATACGCAATTGAAAAAGTTTATCCAGAAGGAATATTGATATTATTACATATTTTTCATGCATTTCATTCATTTATCATGTACATTGACTCATAACTAGATAGTGTTATATACGCGTATTTATATGTGTGTATATATATATGAGATATAGGAAAAAGGTTAAGATGTTATATACACACCACCATCTGATCAGTTGGTATATGTTGATGATGTTGCCCACAGCGGTAGAGATGATATAATGGGATGTCCTCAGTAGCTTGATGATGTTATGTATACTTATACACATGCATGACACGACATTTATATACACGTGCATAACATTATAAGTGTTTCAGAATTTTCAAAGTTATTTAGATTCACAAATGGATTTCTTTATTCCATGTTTCATATATGCTTTTTACGTACATATTTTCATGCTTTACATACTCAGCACATTTTTTGTACCGACGCCCTATTCCACGGTGCCTTCGTTTCATGCCCATAGGTGCAGGTAGCCAAGCTGACGGTCTCCCTTCTTAGGATCCTTGATAAGCGAGAGTTGGCGTGCTCCACTTGATCCGGAGCTACTTTTGATTTTGTTAGGATATGTTTGTACATGTATATATGGGTATGACGTGGCTCAGTCCCGTCTTTGTATAGTTGTATTTCTATTAGAGGTCTGTAGACAGTTATATACAGTTGGTTAGTGTGTGGTCTTGTCGGCTTTCAGTTTTGGGTATATAGTCGTCTATCGCGGCCTTGTCGTCTCGCCCACTGTAATCCGCACATATATGTATATATGTCTTTTGGACAGATTTTCTTCATGTACGTATTCTCGTAATTCAATAGATGTTAATCAGGTTTATAGCTTAGACGCATGCTTAGGGGTGTTTGACAGGCAGGACTCGGGCACCCGTCGCAGCCTTTTGGTTTAGGTCGTGACATCACCATGGAATCTCGGTCAAATATCAGGAACGCGCGCTGGACTGGTAGCTAGATGTACCTACCTCAGATCCTGTACATTTAAGTACATAAGCATAGTATGAGTATATAAATAATATGTACCCAGAAAGTATCCAGTCTAACCTCAAAGAAGTAGTGACGAGGGCTCGACTTGACACTTACCAAAGTCAATACTAATATAAATTAAGTGTTATGCTAAGTATGGATGTCATGAATAAATAACAGTTGGTAACAGGAAGTGACAGGTTCTTTCATAGATAATATTTCAATTAACAGTCTATATTCAAGGCATTTAAAATAGTTCAAACCACAGATAGTACCAAGCATATAGAATGCACAAATAATGTCGAGGTCGTACGGCCCAATCCAATATAAAAGTAAAGTATGCACTGCCAGTGGGTCGAATGGCGTGAACCATAAATGCATCTATTGCCCCGCTTGTGAATCATACATGTGATGCGGTCAAACATAAATAAACATATCAAGCAGTCTTTTATCAATAAAACAATTATCCACAATACTGTCAAACTTCTCTTTAACGGTCAAGAAAGTGATGTTTAACTTTTTAGAAATTTATTTGCCAAATTCGATATGATTCATGTAATCTAATTTAACAATAAAGTTACAAATATGGCAAGTAAAGCAGGCTTTTGGGTTCTAAACTACCCGGACATAAGCATAATAGTAGCTACGCATGGACTCTCGTCAACTCGTGCATACGTAGCCCCCGCAATTTGTAGCAAATATTCAATTATTTCTCCAATAGAGATAATTCCCTCTTACAATGTTAGAAAGGAGACTTACCTTACTCCACGGTCTACTTTCCGGTCTAGGTTTACGCCCAAACTATCAAATTGGCGCCAAATATTTTGAAAGTATTCAAATAGCATAAAAACTAATCAATATAGGCTTAAAAGTTCATATCCCAACCATTAGAGTGATTACCCAACCCAAATTATAAAATTACTAAAATTGATTCTCGGGCCCACATGCCCGGATTCTGGAAAGTTTTAAAGAAAGTTGTTACCCATAATCTAAGGATCAAGAATATATGATTTTTACTCCATTCCATAACAAATTTCGTGGTTAAATCTTGTTTTTACCAAAACCCTAGATTTTACTCTAATCCCATGATTTCCACTAATTTTTTGTGTGTTAATCTACCCAAAAACCAAGTATTAAACTCACATTAAGTAGAAGTAAATTACCTTACAAATGCTAGGTTGAAATCCTCTCTTTGGAAGCTCCCAAATTGCCCAAACAATGAATGAAATATGTCAAAAATGACACATTCACGTATTAAATGAAGGCACTACCTTCAGCGATTTCCGAACCTGCGGTCTCGCTTCTACGAGGAAGTGTCCGCATCTGCGGACTTTGCTTGGGCAGGCTGGGGGTTACATCGGCGGTCTGGGCCACTTCTACGGAAAAGGAGCCGCATCTGTTGTTCCTGGGCTCCTCCCCTTGGGCCGCACCTGCGAAGAATCGACCGCTTCTGCGGTTTCGCACCTGCGGCTGGTCAACCACAGGTGCGGTTAGGACAGATGCCTAGAGCTTCAGCTCCTTCCAAAAATATTTAACTCAACTCGAGCCTCCTCCGATTGACACTCAGGACCCCCGAGGCCCCGCCCGAACAAACCGGCAAAGTTTGAAATGATAAAACGGACTCGCTCAAACCCTCAAAATACTGCAAACAACAATAAAAGTAGGAATGACTCCCTAAACCCAATTGTTTCAAACTTATGAACTTCAAGTTCTTCAATTTACTTCTAACACGTCGAAATGTACTTATACTACTCGGATTTACACCAAATTTTACGTGAAAGTCTTAAATGCCATAATGGAACTATTATCGGTCTCGGAATTCCGTTCGGACCCAGATATCACAAAAACCCGCTCCAAACCAAATTTCAAGAACTTTAAAATTCTTAAAGAACCAACTTTCACTATTACACGCCAAAACTCTCCCGAGTCATCCAAAACCTGATCCGGACATACCCCCAAGTCCAAAATCATCATACGAACCTGTTAGAACCTTCAAATCCCGACTCCGAGGTTGTTTACTCAAAATATTGACCAAAGTCAAACTTGGCTTTTTAAGCCAACCTTAAGGAACCAAGTGTTCCGATTTCAACCCAAACTCTTCCAAATCCCGAACCACCCATCCCCAAAAGTCATAAATCAGTAAAAGCAAGTACATAATGTCTTATTTAGGGAAACAAGATTTTAGAAAGCAAAACGACCAATCGGGTCGTTACATGTGTTATTTTTCTAAATGTGAGTATTTTATTTATTAAATTAATGAAATGGCTTGGCTGATAAATCATGAGCTTTGATTTTTTAATTTTTATTCAACATATTTTATTAAGCATGATTAAGAACGTGGACTTGAGATTTGTTCACGGTAATGTTACTATCACATATAATAATGCTATTTATATATCTTGAAAGGTAATATTAAGAAAAAAAATTAAATGTACGAATATATTATAAAAATAAAAAATAAAATAATATTAAATTATTTAATTATAAGTAAAATACTTGAGTAAAAGTATATTATATAGCATATGATACAAAAGATATTACATAAATGGCGGAATTTATAATGTCAAGGGCATAATAGACTATTCAGGTGAAAGGTTGGTAAAATATTGTCAAAGTGATTACTGTAACAACTAGAGCATAATAAAATAATTTTTCTCTAACAAAAGTAAGAAAAGTGACTTTTGGTTAATGAACACAAAGTTGAATAATTTTTACGTAACAAAAGAAAAAAAAAAGTGGCTTTTGGATAATAAACATAAAGTTGAATGACCACCAATAAAATTTACTCTAAATTTTTTATGGGAAGGACATTTTTGTTATTTTGGTATTTTATTCCGGGATTAGTAACTTCGAGATTGTTATCTCACTCTAAACGTGGGGTATAAATAATACAACTAGTGTGGTATAACTAATCAAGAAATCCCAAAATTCAACCAAACAGAGATACGATAAATCCTGTATTTTAACATTGAATTGTTATCTCTTATTCCATCGACCAAGTGGCCCTATAAGTATTTTTCTACCATGAGTAAGGCGCTTGATTGCCAAACACCCAATTCAACTCCATCTGTATCTATTAAAAAGATTCCACCATCTCACATATAGCAAGCTTTGGTGTAAATTTGCCAAATTCACTGGGTGAGATGGAACCATTAAAAGACACCATCTGTATTATATCACTTCATATTGTTCACTATACAAAAGCATCATCGAAAATTAAAGATGACACAATTTCATTGCATGTTTGGTACAAGAGAAGAGTTTATTATATTGGATTTTGCATGATGGAAAGACCTCAAACCAACAATAACAAATACAGCAATTGACAAATAACAACTTCATATGTGGTCTAAAACCCCAGATAATTGGACGACTCAAAGACAAACAATAACTGACTCAATAACAAAGACAACAATTGACTAAATGGACAGACTCGTTAACTGGTAATTAAACTCTCCTCCAAACACTAGTACCAAACTCAAGGACTCCAATTGCCACTGCCACATTTATTAATGATGAGTTCCCGAACTCTCCCCCACTTCATATTCAGGGACAACATTTAAATCAAACTTGAGTCGCTCAGCTCGAATGTGATTCTTTGTTGCTTCATTAATATTTTCCAACCGCAGCTTCATTTCCATAAACTTCTCCAACCTTTCTTTATCAGCCGGTATTTCAGCGCCAGGGTACATGACCTTATACCTCAGTTCCCGACTTTTTGCCTTCTCGTTCTCATCTTGTATATCTTTGCAGAGATCATCAAATGCCTGAAAGACACTTGATTTTCCCTCATCAGCATTCTGTTGTTTCCATTCCCGAAATTTTTCTGTTATTTTTTCAACACTAGTGGAGGTGTAGGAACATGGTTTTCCACTTGGTGAAAAGAGCAGAACACCAACGTCTGCTCCCGTCACAGTAGAAAACTCATCCGCTTTCCTGAACAAGCTCGCTTTCCTTTTTGAGAAGGTAACATAGCGTGCTTCTTTTGACTCGACATACTTCATTTCAATCTTTTGCCTACCCCTACTCGTCCTCCTTGCCATTGCAAAAAGAAAATATAGAAGAATATTAAAAAGATATTTTGGCTGAATAAGACTGAGCAATTTCGAGATAAGCGCCAGTGTGATTTATAGTTAGTGTGGGGGTCTCTCTGTCACGTGTATTGTCACATTTGATTAAATGTAATTCATATATTCAGATTACAGAGAATCCAAGTCCAAAATTGTATTCCCATTATATAGCTCAGACTGCAAAAGCTGAACTGATCCTCAAGAAATGAAAAATATTGACTATTTATTACATAGTTAATGTTAATGCTATACTTACTATGAATAAAAAGCATGCCAAGAAATTACTTTTTAAGTCTGTTAATGTTTCTTCATATTCCACTTTTAAGTCATGTTGGCAATTATATGGCAAGTAATTAAACAGTAAATCGACATTACAACATATCAAACATTGTGCTCCCTAGCAAAGGACTTCTATATTTATTTATTCTATTCATATTACAAAAGGTATGATTTAACACTTGATCCAATTCAATACTAATTTTTAGATTGGCAACGCCTGGTGGCTTAACCAATTATTCTTATTTCTAAGCCAATTCCAAATATCAATGCAGAGTGCTCCTCATTCATCCCGAACAAGAAAAACTATTTTGTTCATCAACGGGCATGCAGAAAACACTATTGTATTATGAAACTCCTAAAAATAAATTCTTCAATAGATAAATTTAAGCGCAAAAGAACCGTGAAAAAAAAAAACTTTAGAGCTCACAAGCCTCAATTTTAAAACATGAACACTTCATCGTTGCATACGCAAAAAAATTTCTTTATTAACATTCAAGAGTTAAACGAGTAATAAACAATGCACTTACACATATAATAGTGCTACTTATATATTTTGGAAAGTAATATTAAGAAATAAATTAAATGTATGAATATATTATAAAAATAAAAAATAAAATAATATTAAGTTACTTTAATTGTAAGTAAAATACTTGGGTAAAAGTATATTATATAGCATATAATATAAAAGGTATTACATAAATGGGAGAATTTATAATGTCAAGGGAATAATAGACTTTTTAGGTGAAAGGTTTGTAAAATCTGGGCAAAGTGATTATTGTAATAACTAAAGCATAATAAAATAATTTTTGTGTAACAAAAGAAAGAAAAATGACTTTTGGGTAATGAACACAAAGTTGAATAATTTTTACATAACAAAAGAAAGAAAAATAACTTTTGGATAATGAACATAAAGTTGAATGACCACCAATGAAATTTAATCAAGGATTCAACCCTTCCGACTTGTGCCCCTAATAAAATTTCACTCGGTAAAAAATAAAAAGAGCAGTTCGATGCATTAATACTATGTTATACGTAAGGTATGAGGAAGAGATTTTTATGGCTTGATCTCTGTAAGCACGTGATTTTTGCCCAATATGAGAATTACTCCCAAAAATTCAAAAATAAAATGATTTTCTTTGGTGTGCACTTTTGTGATATTTTGAATAATTATTTGTAGTTGTCTGTGCGTGTTTATTTGCTAAATTAATAAAAAATACAAAAATATGTCGCATTTTGCATGTAGGATTTAATTCTATAATTGTTATTAATTAAATTTGTTTACAAAAAATTAAAAATTACAAAAATAAGCATCGTTTGCATTTTTAGCATTTAATGTCCAAATATACAATTTTATGCTTAATTATTACTTAATTGTGCGTTAATTATTATTGGGAGTTAATTTGCGCTTTTATAACTTAATTTAATTCTTAATAATAGTTTAAGTATTTTTATAATTTAGTTTTAGAGAAATAAAAGAAGAAAAAAGAGCGAAAATATAAAGAAAGTCGGAATTGGGCCTCTTCTTCAAATTTAAGCTATAAGCCCAAAAAATGGCCCAATCTTCCCTACGACCCAGTCCATTTCGAACTGGGTCGACCCAGTCCATAACCCAAAAGACCCAAACCCCCTTTTTGTCTTTCATTTTTACAAAACAAAAACAAAAACAAAACAAAACAAAAGAAAAAAAAAACAAAAACCCTAAAAAAACCTAAAGAACACATCCGCCCCCCCTTCCCTTTGCTTCTTCTTCTCCAAGCTTTCCTCACACCCCATCCATGGCTGCCTCCCATAGCTTCGCCTGTCATCCTCAGTTGCGACCATGCCGTCCCCAGCTCCACCAGAACACCATCGTTGTTTTGGCTTCATCATCTTCGTCGAGCTATAACCATCGTTGCCTTTGCTTCATCGTCTTCGTTATGGTGTAACCCACGTTGTTGCTGCTTCTTCCTCACTTCATGCTGCTGCGATATCTGCTTTCATCTTCCCCGTCGCCACTGCTTCGTCATCGACCAAGAAGACCACGATGCTGCTTCTCCGTCGCAGCTGCTGCCCGGACCCGCCATTGACGCAGCCATTTTGCTCCCCGCTGCTTCTGCTTCAGCCTTCTTCTACTGCTGCTCGTCGAAGCTACTGCTGCTCGTTGAAGCTCATGCTGCTCGTCGAAGCTCCAGCTGCCTCCGTTCATCATTGTCCATCGCTTTCTGTCGCGTCTCCGTTGCTTCCATGGCCAAGTTCATCGTCGTCTGCTCAT